ACTCGAATGGGTTGAGTTTGAGTGAATGCAAATTTTTATATATTAAAACACATGATTTACTTTATAATTCTAAAGTTTCAAACTACTCTATTTTAATAAAAGTTATAAATATGAAAATTTTTATTAAATTATTTTTTAATATTAAATTATTAATATTTTTAAAATATTAATTTATTTTATTAAAAAGAATTCTACAAATTAAGGGGTACTTTGGTCATTAAAATGGTAATCTTTTCTCATCCAGTTTCCAACCAAACATTGGATAAGATTATTTCCCAACATATCCTATCCAATTTATAACCAATCAAAACTAGATAACTTATATTATTTATCTGAAAATGACTCAATTTAGGATTAATAATTCGAGCATGAGTCATCATATCTTATATGGTCCGTGAACCAAACGAATCCTAAGCAATCAAAACCGTGCGATATTATACTTGTTGACTTCGCAAGAAAAAATATTTAAGAAAGCGTTTTTTTTAATGGGTACCCATATCCATTAGGTACTTTTATTTTATTAAGACATTTAAAATTCACCTAACCTATCATACATACACATACTAATAGTTATTACTTTCCCTTGCATTTAATACTTTTCCCATCTAATCTTACCAATCATTTCTTGTATTTATTTACTCTTCCTAATTAATCATACATCTCCAAAATATACTCCCTCATATTTACATACTTTCCTTAATTAATTTTACATTTTCAAAATATATTTTAACACCACAAATATATCTTAATGGTTGCACAATACAAAAAAAAAAAAAATGCACAAGGACATAGCACACTAGACTCCTAAGGCATGAATTATCACCTTCCCTTGCATTTAATAAATACTTTTCCCATCTAGTCTTACTAACCTTCTATCATATTTATTTACTTTTTTAAATCGATTTTACATTTTCAAAAACACTCCCAATATTTATTTACTTTCCTTAATTAATATTACATTTCCAAAAATATACTATCTTGGCATTACAAATAGGTTGCCCAATACAGACCAAAAAAAAAAAAAATAGCACAAGGACAAAGCACGCTAGACTCCCGAGACATGAATATCCCACGTCCATTTTTGGAGGTTTAATCTGTTGATTACAATCCTCACCTGCCGGTGGGATTCATGATCTCGGAGAAAACATTATCAGACTTTAACATGTCACTACTGGCCGTGAATGTCCCGGTCGTAATACTACGGCTCTTCATCAGGGCGGCAGAATCTTTCTCAACTCCCGAGTCTGAGAACACATCCTCATCATCCTCAGTCGTAGCTTGCTCATCTCTTCCCAACCCATGCATACGGAAAGCAAATGGACGTCGACCGCTCTTATTTTCAGCCGCCTCCTGAAGCTGCAACGCGAATTCGAGGCTCCAAACTACATCATTCATTCCGGGTCGTTCAATCCCCTGATCTTTCAAACAGTTGATCGCTGTTTCAGCAAAGCTCCTCAAACACTCAGGAGCAATCTCGCCCTTCATGTGAGGGTCTACAGTTTGGTGGATGATCCCTTTTGCGTAATACCTCTTGCCCCACTCCGCCAAATTCACCTGCTCCTTGGGCAAGTTGGGAATAATGGCTCCCCGCCCACACAGCACTTCGAGCAAAACCACCCCGAACGAGTACACGTCCGACTTCTCCGTCAACTGCTGTCTCTTGTAATACTCCGGATCTACGTAGCCGAAACTCCCCTTCACCTGCGTGCTGACATGGCTGTGGATTCCACCGCTGGGGCCTAGCTTGGACAGACCGAAATCCGAAACCTTAGCCACCCATTTCTCGTCCAGCAATATGTTGGTTGACTTGACGTCCCGGTGGATGATGCTGTGCTTGGCGCCGGTGTGGAGATAATGCAACCCTCTGGCTGCGCCGAGGCAAATCTGAAGCCGTTGCTTCCACGGGAGGGGTGGATTATCTGTTTTGTAGAGGTGGTCGCGGAGGGTGCCATTGGCCATGTAATCATAAACCAAGATCATCTCTCCCTTCTCGTCACAGTAACCTATCAGGGATACCAGATGAAGATGCCTTAGATTCGACAGCATCTCGATCTCGGTTCGAAATTCGCGGACCCCTTGACTTGACGAAGGATTTAATCGCTTAATAGCAACTGTGATTAGACTATTGTCGATGTACCCTTTGTACACGTTTCCGAATCCTCCGGTTCCGATCACAAAGTTAGCATCGAAGTTGGCCGTAGCAAAGATGATCTCCTCCAGGGAAAATCTCCGGCAAAGATCCAGCGGCAGTGACGAAGACCTCGATGCACTTGTTGCCTTTGATGACCTGGACGTGGTTGAAAGTTGGACCCCGGATGACTTTGAAGCACTTTTCTGGTCAAAATCTTTTACCCGTCTCCTTAGCCGCCGGGAAATCAAGAAACCGATGATCAAAACCAAGGCAGCCCCTCCGACCACCCCTCCCACGATAGGAAAAAGTACCCGAGATTTTACACCTCTCCCCTTTTTCGGTGGCTTGCTGTTTGGCATCCGGGAATTGGGATCCGCCGGCGGATCAGGATTGGTCCCGGCAAGACTGCCGTCGCTGTTGTTCAATTTGAACAATTCTAAACCATTCAAGATTGCATCAGCATACTTCGGCTTGACGTCGAGATTTGGGTGCAGAGCAAGAAACAAGTCTTGCTTGCTCGGGCGACCATCCGGTGGGTGTGGAACGAGCACGACGTAGTCTCTGAAAACCGGGATTCCGGGGCCGCCGGTCCAAGCTATAATATCAGCCTCTTCCTCAGCTGTTTTGTTACTGATGAATATCCTGAACACCCGTTGGTTCTCTTGTGTAATCAAATCAGGGTTAATCTCGCAAAAATGCAACCTCAGGAGATAATCAAATCCAGAATCAACAGAGAACATCCAGCTCAAGTTGAAGCGGGTGCTAAAGTTGCCCATCGCCCTTGCGGTAGCATAAACTATCGCTGGCGCAGTGTAATTTGGGGTTTGCAGAGTGTAGTTGACAGCAATTTCATTATTGCTCAATGGATTCCCTTGATCTACGCTCCAGATGAATTTGTCATCGGGAACCCATCCTCGGAACATCCCACTATCAGCTAATGCAGAAACATCTTTTCCTCCGACGTTAAGCCTGTAAAGAGCTTCGAAGGCAGTGTCGTTCTGATCAAGCTCGAACTGAATGTTGGGATCATTCACGTTTTTGAGGGGATTATTGCCCATGTAGAGTCCGTCCGGGGTTGAAACAACTTCAATTCCATTAATGAACGCGTAGGACTGCGTAGAGGGCAAAAAGGTAACGTTGAGGAATTGATTCATAGCCTCAACATTAATGATGAATTCTTTAACGACGTAGGCAGGTGAGAATCCCCCGGCGGAAACTGTTAAAAATGCGCTAAAGTTGCTCAGAAGGGTGTAGTTATTAGCCATGACAGCGAAGAAAGATTCAGTTGCGTTGAAGTCGCTGGAGTAGGAGGCCGGGTAGAAGTAAAGGCGGACGAACTTTTTTCCGGGGGAGACAGGGAAGGTATAGGAGAAATTAGAACGAATGATACGGGCAGTTAAATAAGGGGCTCCGGAGACGGAAGAGTCTTGCTCGGTGGCTGTGACAGCTGATGATATATTCGCCATGTCGTTAGGGGAGAATTTTGAGCCGGCGTCGCCGTACCAGTTTCGGCCATCGGTTGAGGTTGCGTTTGAGGATGATCCGCAGTTGATCAGGATGTAATCTGTGGGGCTGTAAGGCGGAGTATCGCTGGAAGTGATGATGAACAAGAGATTGAAGAGAAAGGAGAGGTATACAAGAAGAGTAAACATTGGAGCAAAATTAAGAGGGTACCGCAAAACACAAAGATTACTCCTACATCGATGGAGGTGATCGGTTTAAAGCTGGTGTAGGATTAGCAGGATGAGGCGAGAGGAATTATTGGTCCTTGGAAAATGAAGTGAGGATGGCTCCGTCGTCACTGTAAACTCCTGCGTGGACTTGCCAAGTCGGAAAAGTCAAGTCTTTAGACTGATTCAAATTATACTATACTCCCATACTCCAAAGAATAATTTCTATAATTTTTTTTGGAGGCAGGTAAGGAAAGGGACAAATTCCTGCTTGAAATTATTTCTTGGAAGTTAGCAAAATAGAAAAAGATTCTCGGCTTTATGAGTCTATCACCCTGGTTGGCAGCCGGCTGCCATGAGAAAAGAGTCCAATAGAGAGCTGGGGGGACCATGGTAATTGTGGTCGAGTCTGTGAAGAGAAAGCTGTGGGGTACTTGAGAAAATTCTGTGGATACTAAGACATTAATTTCAATGAGAAGACTAGCAGCAGCAGCAGCAAGATTGCAACTTCATCTTTCAGTATCATTGCTGTACTAGCAGCGGATATGGACCGGTTAATTTGGAGCAACTCTGGCGGCCTTTCTATTAGAGCTTCAGTCATTTTGACTGTGTAATTGTAGTTCCTTCAGCTCAACCGATGTGAGTGGGGCAGTGCAGCAGTCATTTTAATTGCTGCTTTTGAGATCGCAAATAGATACTACTCTCTCCGTCCCACTTTGATAGTCCTGTATTTCTTTTTTATCTGTCCCAAATTACAGTCCATTTTTTAATTAAAAAATGTAATTGTATTTTTATTTTCCTAAAATACCCTTATTCAATACAAGTTGTTGTTGCTATAAATCTACCCCATTTAATGAGAGTTGATTCTTTTTTTACCATCAATTCAAGTTCCCATAAAGTTGTACTCTATTTAATGTGAGGGTATTTTAGGAAAATAGCAATCTAAATTTACTTTTTCAACAAAGTTAACTACTCTTTCTTAAACTGTGCGAAAAAAGAAACAGAACTATTAAAGTGGGACGGAGGAGTACTATTTTCTGGAGTTTTTGTGAAAAAATAGATTGTAACTATACGATACACATGAGGTAAAAAAAAGTGATTGAAAGACGCATTAACGCAAAGTGTAAAATTTTTTGGGAAGAAATGGGAATTCAAACAAGGCCGACTCTTGATTTTTGCTTCAACTCGAGCGGTGAATTTTGTTTACATTTATAATTGATTAGGCAGAGCATATGAGCGGCATATGCACATAGATTACTTGTTTCGGTCTTATCAATTTGTTAATCAATCAAGCAGGTAAGAAGTGCGAGTACGAGCTTGTCATGGAACGGATGCAGAAGATCCGGGAAGCCGAAGCCCAACAAAAACAAGGTAATTATTTTTTAGTTTTTTCTTTGAGTTCTATTTTGGATGATTTTACCTGGGATTTTTTTGGAGGCTTTTTGACATTTTTCTGGGTTTCAAGTTTTATTTGGTTTAATCTTAGGGAAAGTACATAAAATTTTGTTTTCTTGGGTGACGGTTGAATAGGTTTTGTTAAGTGGGTTTGCTTTAGTTTTTTAAATTGACAGTCTTTAGGATTTATAATCTCTATGTTTTGACAGTCTTAAGGTTATCTCTGAATGGGGTTTTTTGTCATTGATATGTAATTTTTGGTTGAAGTGCTTGCAATTTATGAGCTAATGACTCGTATAATAGACAATTTAATGACAGTTTTGGTCTGCTATTGAGAATTACTCGCTTCATCCCAAAAATTTATTGCACTTCGGGAATTGTAATTTTTATGAAGAGTGGATAGAATTTGAAAATTGAAGAGCTTTAAGTGTTGTATTAAGACATAAAGAATCGTGGAGCCAATATGTTTGTCCAATCGCAGATATGATTGCCAACTAGCGCGTGCATCAGAACACTTGATGGCTTTAGTTTCTAAATGCCAACTAGCGCGTACTACAAAAGAAGTTGTCTTAGTTTCGTTGGTAATAATCTGTGGGCTCATGAAAAGACACATGCATTGGACTTTTAGGGAGTGTTTGAACGGTAAATGGAGGAATTGAATGCAACTGTGTTAGCCAATTTTTGTAAGTTACAAATAGGAAAATATGACAGTGCCAATGGAACAGAGGGAGTATTAGTCAAGGATTTTTCTTGTTTTAGTTTTGTAATTGGTTATTTACGTTTTCTTCAATCGAATGTGGTTTAATTCAAGTTTATGAGTTTCTCAGTGAATTTCTGTATCTGTCAAGACTCAAGAGTGTTGCATTGCTCATTTATGTGGTTCTTTGTGATAAAGCTTATATCCTTCTTTTGTACCTCACTTTTGTTGGTTGGAGATTTGCTTCAGTTGGTAGGCAAAGAATAGTGCCACTTTGGAGACAATGTTTATGAACTTGTTTTAGGATGTATTTGCTCGGTTGCAGCTCAGACATACTCAGCGAGAGAACTTTTTAGTTCCTTTGCTTTGTGTGGATCTGTGTTTAGCTTTTTGATACCTTTGAATGTTCATTGATATTACGTCTAACTCCCAAAGTTGTTTCTAGATGTGCTAATTATAATGGCCTGATTAGTTTTCTGTTGTCAACTGAACAAATTTTGATAATTTTGTACCTCAGAAGTATTGAAGCTAATCATTCTGTTGTAATGGAGAAATGGAAAAGATTGCAAATGTAGTGCCTTTGTACTAGATAATAAATGTTCACCTGCAGTACATCAGGTTTCTGTCTAGGTATTTTCATTTGTACCTGATGTTTACCAAATTCTGTCAAAGCATCAGTCTGAACCTTATGAAATCATCAAGCTAAATGGATGGCTTCTTTTTTTACTAAGAGCAGTTGTGTTTCGTGACTGCTTTTTAGTTGTATTAAGTGAGTAGACTATGTGATGTGTGACAAACTGGCTATAAGTGCAACTGCTCGCATGAAGAAAAAACCATGGGATTTGGGGTGCTTTAGTAGTTGGTTCTGGTCAATACCACCAAGATTTGCCCAGTTACAGCTTTCATTGCTTGTATGAGCCTCATTTTTCACTTGATACTGGGCAAAAGGACTTGAAAAAAAAAAAGAAATAGGAAATTATCCATGTAGTGGAGCTAAGCCGGAAAACAATTGTGGCCTATTGAGGTTTGTAGCCAAAAGCTCTCTTCCAAGGGGCATGTAGAGATACATTGTATCCCCAGCTAGGAAAGAATCTGATTAAACAGCTTTTCCAGAGAAAAGATAGCTGAGGATAATACTCACATTTAACAATAAGCTGTAGTCCTGGGAATCTGGGCTTTTATTGAGTTTGAACTACAGTTGAATGGGAAGTATGCTTGAGTTAGGGGCAGACAGAGATATAGGCAAATAACAGTTGTTGAGTATTATAGTTTCTGATATCTTTTCCTTTCGAGGTTGGAACAAAGTTCAATTCTTAACAGTTGCTTATTAGCAACTTTCATTGCATAGTGTTTTCGCAGCTCTCATTCTGTGATTGAAGTCTGAAACCCTACTGGCTAACTGCTGGTAACAAAACTGCTGTGAGTGCAAGTTGGCATGTTACTGGTTTGGTATCTATACTTGCATTGAAGAATGATACTCAAGCCTATTAGAAGTGGTTTTTCTGATGACATTACTCGGCAAAGCTGTAGCTGGATTTTATCATTCTTGTCATCAGTAACTTCAAACACGATTATAATCTTGAAACTGTTTTTGTAGGAGTTTGCTTTCTGTTCTCTTAAAACCAAAGTTTTTGTGGGGCTTGGCTGTAGATATAAATAATGTGTGTTGAGATGAGGGGTATATTTGGTTCCTAACACACATTAACTTTTTCATGACCAGTTCCATGGAATGGAAAGTTGATTCTAATGTGCCAGGTAGAAAGGAAGAGAGAAGTGAGCTTTATTAAGTGATTGAAATTTCCAGCTATCACTCTCAGTCTCTCACCATCTATCTTTCTTGGAAGCCTGAGCAATGCAAAAGATTTTCCAAGACATAGTCATCAAGTTATGTATAATTTTGTCAGGGTGAAAGCCATTGTTGCCATAATGGGTATAAGCTTGTCAAACTGGTGACACTAACAGATTAGCTACCTGAAAATCACCTTTCCACCTATGTTACTCCGGCTCTTTGTTGTACCCCAATGTACCCGTGTCGACATAACTTGACACTGGTACTGGTCTCTTTTTTGTCAGTGGATGTTGATGGTGAAGGGGGACGAGAGAGGTAAAGTGAAGTGGAAAACTTTAGGACTTTCATGTTAGAGAGAAAGAAGACCTATCTAGAATTCTGAATTTCCCTTGTATAAATGAAATCTAACAAGCTCCCAAGGAAAATTGCCCTGCTCGTATATAAGTAAACAACAATCGATGTACATAATTTGTATATTTCCTAGAATGTCCATCATACCTAAGTACCAGTATCCGACTCTTTAGAAGTGCCCCTTTATCCTGTTTTTAGATGATTAAAGAACTAGACACTTAGACACATACCCATATCTGACCCTCATGCCCGAGCCCGAGTAACATAGTTTTCCACTCTGTTACAGCAAATTGCATTTGTTTTAGTGTTAAACAATTGCTGCGTTTAGGATGACAAATTTCGTCTTTAATTGTCATGTAGCAGGAACTTGTTCACCATAGAGCATATAAATACACATTTGGAGGCCTGAAGTCTTTTTCTTGTGGAAGTTCTTGGACCAGGAAAAGGAAAATGGATTTACTGGTCTGATTTATGTTGGAGATAATGGTTGAGAACCCTACTTTATTCCAAACGAGAAGAAGATTGTATGTAGAGTAGTGGTGATACTATGTGCAGAGCAGCATTGAGAAGTGGAAAACCAGTTTCTAGTTGTTCTACTATTTATTGTGGTGACATTTTTCTTCTCTTTTTTTGTTTATCTTTTTCATTTCAACGTATCTAATGATGTTTGTTCAATGTTCTTAACAGGTTGCTGAAGCTGCTGAGATTGTGTCATTATTAGTCCATCAAATTCTGTTTGAAACTCTTCTATGTAATGCTACCTGGAGCTAGCCTATCCTGTTCTGGCATTTTGTTTTTCTATTAAGCATCTTGTGGACACAGCTTTTGGTTTATTCGGAGGCCGTCTCAGTATCTCACAGATTACTGAATTATGTGTTTATAATGCAAATCTCATGGACTGGTTTTAAAAGATCAGATGCCAAATGAACCTTTTCTTGTGAAATTTTGGCAACCAGACTCAAATCTTGTGTCATAATTGTCTATCCATGTTTCTGACCCCTGAAGCAGTGCCAAACTCCCTGCAGATTCTTTGAACCTATAAATAGAGCATATGTCAGACCAAGTAAATGAATCAATGGAGGGATTGTTCTGCTATTTCCTGGTATCCCAGTAACCATAAATACAAAGTGTGAAAGTGAATGTGAATTCTCATATCCCAGCCAAAATTTAGATTACATGAATATAGCTGCGGAGTCATATCCTTGTTCTGTATGCTTAACCACTACTATATTTTTAAGGATAAAATTACCTATTATCCCCTTCCCCGTGGTGTGGTATGGTATTTTACCATGCAACCCCCTTATGATCAAAAAATTTATATATAATTTTCTCATAGTTTAGGTTGAAGTGTTACTATTAGTTTTTTGGGCAAATTCCACTTTACCCCCCTGTGATTTAGCGTTTTTTCACATAACCCCTCTATGGTTTCAAAAGCTATACATAACCCCCTTATGGTTTGGATTAAAGTGTCAAAGTAACGAAAATAGTCACTCGTAACGGCGTCATCTAAAATGTCAAAAATACCCTTATGTAAGGCTGAAATTTATGTATTAACCAAGGGGGGTTATGTGTATATTTTGAAAATCATAAGGGGGTTATATGGTAAAGTATTAAACCATAAGGGGGTTATATGGTAAAATATAAAAATCATAGGGGGTTAATGTATCATGTATTTATAAGGGTAATTTCGACATTTTTAGAAGTTCCGTTACGAGGGACTATTTCCGTTACTTTGACACTTTAATCCAAACCATGAGGGGGTTATGTATAGCTTTTGAAACCATAGGGGGGTTATGTAAAAAAAGGGTAAACCACAGGGGGGTAAAATATAATTTATCCTAGTTTTTTTGTTAAAATTAATGATCAATAATAAAATATCAAAGTCAACTAATAAATTGACAGTTCATCCTTTTACTTTTTTTTTCCCTTTTTTCCTTTTCTTTCTCTCACTCTCTCTCTCTTTTTTTGGGGAAGAGAATAGATGATTTTGAAAATCTATACTTTAACCTATAAAATCTTAATTTTCTCCAAATACCAAAGAGATGAAAGGGAAATAAAAAAATAAATAAGAAACCAAAAAGATGGAATAGGAACATAAAATAAATAAATAAGAAACAAAAAATATCAAACCTTTTTTGACCACAAATATCATTATATGTTTTTAAACCAAAATTTTAATGATATTTTCTAGTTCTTATTATCTATTTTTTATTTTAATTTCTTCTTTTTTTATGTTTAGACGAAAAAAAGAAGTAATGAAAGAGTAAATTTATCTTTTTATTAGTTTAAATTTGTTTTTTATTATTGGCTGTTTGTTTGGACAAAAAACTAATAGTGACACATTAACCCAAATCATGAGAAGAGTATATATAAATTTTTAAGTCATAGGGAAGTTATGTCATAAAACACCAAACCACGGAAGTAAAAGGTAATTTATCCTATTCTTAATGCAAACACGTTGCTGAATGCCAACTTCCATAGCCTAGTAATATCACAATCTGTCACCTTCAATATGGCTTTCTTTTTCTTTTTCTTTTTCAATAAAAAATGACTAAAACACATGGTATATTAATGGGGGTTGGACCTTTTCTTTCTCTGAATGCAACAAAGAATCTAGGTTGTATGTAGTCTTTCAAAATGTTCTATTGTTAACTATAGACATAAATTTTTCAATTAATTGAGTTAACTAAGTTTTTCTTTTTGCCAAACAATAATAGCTTTGTATTTCAAACACAAGGGATTACAAGGATGGAGCAATTGCTCCTACTTCATTTCTGGCTAAGTTGATTAACCAGGGAGGGAAAGAATCCCTTTAACAGACTTCCTTAACCAGGTTTATGGCTAATTTTGCTAAATGATGACTAATATAGTTACCTTCCCTCTTGATAAAGGAAAGATGTCATTTATTGAAACTTTGTATAAAACTAAATATGTCCTCAACTATTGTTCCTATCACAAGATCAAGTGTACCACTCTCTGCAATCCTGTCCACCATATTTGTGCAATCTGATTGGACTATAACTTTCCCCCAACCTTCCTAATTGCCCTTCGTCAATGCAGTTCTGATTGCAACGCTTCTTCAATCTCAACCTTACTGTTCTTGCTTTCATTTCCAGCTTAAGTGCATACTACTTCTCCATGTTCATTCCTTGTTACAATTCCCCAACCAGCCTTCTCTTGTTTCTTATCCAAAGTTGCATCAATGTTTAACATAATGAAACCATTTGTAGGTGGTTTCCACTTGACCTCAACCTCAGAATTCTCCTTATCTTTCCATGTTTCCCCATCTTCCCCTCTTTGCACTACTCTATTCTTGCCATTCTTGCACTGCTTTGCTTGCCATTGTTCTTGGACATTTCCTTTCCTTCTTGAGCTGAAAGCGGTTTCTAGATTTTCATATCTGCCACAAAATGTCTACTGTCAGTATAATTGTGTGTTTTATTCGTTGGTATTTGATCTTAATTTTGGTCATTTATTGTGCAAGACACTGGATTTCTGCTCAGATTTGGTATTTGTGTTATTGGCAGACGAGTGGTGTTAAAAGTGACAAGAAGAGGCAAATTTCAGAAGACTAGACATTCTATAGCTTGCCCACGCCAAATAATACAGAGTTGCGTGAAAAAGACGGACCACGGGTCCTATCCGTGGAACTACCGCCTTTCTTTGGGAACAAATTCTGAACTTGCGGGAATAAGAAAACAAAGTCAAAGACGACTTTTGGCAGCAATTCAAGGAGGGAAATAAGGAAGCAATTCGTTTGAGAAACAACCTCTAATTCGGCTAGCTAGAGGACGGCGGCGGAGCTTTAAAAGAAAACAGGAATAGACTAGGGCTGGGTCTTTTAGCTTGGAAACTTTTGTCTTTCTTTTCTTCTTCCTAACATTAGTCAAAGATTCATGGCTTTTTCCTCTTCCATCAACTAAATTCTATTCCATTGAAAGCCTTCAATTGCTTTGTGATTATGCGGCAAGGCTAAATCCTTTTATCTAGTTGAGGAATAATCAAGACTCGGAGCACGAATAATTTTTTGACTAATTTGCTCCTATTTATTATTTTAAAATTTTGACTAATTTACCCCTATTAATTAATTTAAAATTTTTGACTAATTTGCCATACTAACATCATAATAGAAGGACTATATTGCCCTTGGACTAAATTATCCTTACTAAGCTTATTTTCTAAACCAAATTCTATATAAATATATAACCTTATCAATTGGCCTTTGTGAATGAGGACTTCAATAAACTCAAACTCGGTCCAAAGAAAAATCTTCTATATTAGATTGAGTTCGCTCATTTAAAACTCTTAAATGGGTTAGGTTTTAATCGATTTAACCCTACCTTAGCAAAGCTCAGCCCATTATTTAATTGAATTTCAAATTTAGATTCAAAAACTTGGTCAAAAATGTATTTTTAAGAACCCGAATGGGTTGAGTTTGAGTGAATGTAAATTTTTATATATTAAAATGCATGATTTACTTTATAATTCTAAAGTTTCAAACTACTCTATTTTAATAAAAGTTATAAATATGAAATTTTTTATTAAATTACTTTTTTAATAATAAATTATTAATATTTTAAAAATATTAAATTATTTTATTAAAAAGAATTCTACAAATTAAGGGGTACTTTGGTCATTAAAATGGTAATCTTTTCTCATCTAATTTCCAACCAAACACGGGATAAGATTATTTCCCAACATATCCTGTCCAATTTATAACCAATCAAACACTAGATAACTTATATTATTTATTTGAAAATGACTCAATTCAGGATTAATAATTCGAGCATGAGTCATCCCATTTTATTTGGTCCGTGAACCAAACGAATCCTAAGTGATCAAAACCGCGCCATATTATACTTATTGACTTCGCAAGAAAAAATATTTAAGAAAGGGTTTTTTGTTATAAAACTAATAAAATAAGCTACTATAATATCAAGTGAAATATTGGAGAAAGAAGTAGAGAAATGGAGAGTGATATTCTTGTATTCCAACAAAATACAAAAGTGCTCCCAAAGGGTGTTAATGTACCTCTATATATAGGTATTACAAGATCAAAGATACATAAATCATATTAAACACCCACTACTACAATAATATGAAGAAACTTATAAAACGGTTTTTCCACTACATGAATAGATTTATGGATTGTAACTTCTATACATAATGTAACCATAAAATCATGAATTAATTCCCTTGGGAATACAAAGGGACATCCATATTTTTTTTGTTATTTCATAACACTCCCCCTTGGATGTCCATTACACAAAAAATATGCCTCGTTAAAACCTTATTAGGAAAAAATCCAGTGGAACCAAAAACCCTAGTGAAGAAAAAAGAGTACATTATTCTTGTGTAATAATTTCTCCCCCTGATGCAAACGTCATTTGAGATCTTTTAATTGTCGCATTCCAATACTCTTCATCAATTTCTCAAATGTCGCAGTTGGTAATGTCTTGATAAATAAATCTGTCAAATTATTATCTGATCGGATTTGTTGCACATTAATTTCACCATTCTTTTACAAATTATGAGTAAAAAAGAATTTTGGTGAAATGTGTTCTGTCCTATCTCCTTTCAATTGAGCAATACAAGTTGCATTATCTTCATATAATGTAGTTGGAGGATTTTCTTTTTCGGAGAATAACTCACAACTCTTTCGAATATAGTGGGTCATTGATCTTAACCAAACACATTCTCGACTGACTTCATGAATTACTATTATTTCAGCATGATTCGATGAAGTGGCGGTTAGTGATTGCTTTGTAGATCGCCAAGAAATGGCTGTGCCTCTATATGTAAATAAATAACTAGTCTGAGATCTTGTTTTATGCGGGTTAGATAAATTCCCAGCATCAGTATAACCAACCAATTCAGGTTTGAATTTATTTGAATAAAATAAATCAAAATCAATTGTTCCTTGGAGATAGCGAAAAATATGTGTAATACTAT